CCTTTACTGTATTCACTTGTGTAGTGAAAAAAACAGCAATGTGAATAGGTTTTTAGCGCTCACTGTTGTCCTATTCGTGTAATCCCAATAATGAGTATCATCGCTTTATTCGTGTCGAAATCTATAATTATTTTGCCCCAATCCGTTTTCTTTTGTTGCTCTCGTTCTTGAGAGTTCGACTTCAATCCACTGCCACACATTTTCAGACGCACACAATTGTTTGTCAATGTTTGCTCACAATAAAAAGATCGCTTGGTTATTCACTTTTCTCTCTCCCGTTCCGTTTTGGTGGCACGTTTCTTTTCTCTCGTCTCAGGCATGCAACCGTTACTGTTCTCGGTTCGAGAAGCTCTCGAGGGTCGACCCTATTGGATACGCGCGGGGACTCGAGTAAATTACTATCGAAACCATTTTAACCGACTTTCAGTAGGAAAAAGTGAGTTTTTTTAAATTTTCTTTTCATTCAGTATGAAAACCAAACCCGTTTTCTCTGACAAGGGCAAAACGTTCTCCGAGTGCTGGGTGGTGGTGGTGGCACAGGGATTTATTTGCCTTCACCGGTATACTTTGGACCCAATGGTTCGAGGTTCCAACCGTGATACCGCCACTCAACGTTGGTGATAGGCCGCTTTTGTTGTCGTCCGGTTCAATACCGCGTCTGACCTAGGTAAAGGGGTAGGGGGCTTAGGTGACCGGTTGCCATCACTGAACAGCATGTCGTCGTGACTATGTGGTTCCACTCCGTCTACTGTCTATTACATAACGGTGTGTCATAACAGATAGATTCTCTGTGAGTTGTGCTTTATAGTTTTTTCTTTGGACTGATTTTTCTCGATCTCATTCCAGTTATTTTGTTTCTACTTTCAACTCTAATTGTCCATTGTGTGATTTTTTCGGTCACAACCTGCTCTTCTATAATGGAAGTAGTACTATTGTTGTTCATCAGCGGTTTTTCACTGCACTCTCGTTCGATGCGCCCAGTCGTCTGTTCATCTCACTTCTTTTACAGGCTCCGCGGATGGTGCTACCTACTACACGGCCACATTTCAAATCCGCTTCCCGCATACCGGTGATGTGTGCTATTTAGCCTATCACTACCCGTACACCTATACTCGACTACTGACAGACATTGCTCGTTGGCAGGAGCAGGCAAACGGATCACACTCCGATCCGGTCTATTTCCGTGTTCAATCGTTGACTACATCTGTGCTGGAAAACCCGGTCCCCGTACTGACAATCACCTCAGCACGAAGTAGCTCAGTGGAACCGCATTCCGCTTCCAGTATGTTTCAATATAGCTGATTATATGAAATCTATCTATGTCTTTTATTTCTTTTTTACTTGTTGAATGTACAAATGTACGGTCCATTTTCAGGGAAGGGACCGCAGCCATACAAGGCTGCCTGGGAAAACAGAAATAGGGAAGGCTGGCGGTGACGGAGCGATTCGAACCCGGGACTTCCGGGTGACCTTAACAATTTGGCCACCATGGCCAAGTGAGTGAATTTGTACGTGCTTCAAGTGTGTTTTCTCTCCAGAGATTAGCGCTTTAAAGTACACATTTTTCGGGGTGATGTGCTTGGATTAAAATATGCTGTTGAAGCATCAAGTAGCAAATTTTGTATCATGTTCAAATATTCGGTTTTGTTGTACAAACTAAGGAAATGCAAGAATTCTTCAGAACTCGAATCGCAAATACAGTTGTTCTCAATTTTGTCGCCTAAGTTTTTATGCTCTTGTTCACCAAAATTTTTTTTGATTACAACTAAAACTCTAACTAAGTCCTACTGGAAAAGACGAACAGAACTTTCTACTACGTTCACTAACTGGCTGATTCCATCTTTCATACGCAATTACCTTTTCTGTGGCCACCGCATATCCAGACTACCCGTCCGGAGACATGTGCAATACGAGTCCTAAGCAACAACGTCTTCAGTAATGGATAAGCTGTCGTAATCTGAACTCTACACTTGACGCAGACGGATTTTTTGTACTCTCTATTCTCACCGGCGTCGTCTCTCGATACCGCACTGAAACTGGATGAACTGTTTCTTCCATATCGATGATACCGGATGGGATCGTATTCTCCTAGTCCACTTATGAAGCTCCGTGACTTTCGTTTGATTACGACGTTAGAACATATTTTCTAGGGCGTTGGAAGCACGTAGTAAAACGGTGGCAACGTCACCAAATTATCACCCTGCAGGAAGTGTTTTCGAGTCCCGCCATCATCACCCAAATTTTCCCGTTGTGTTGTCTGGCCGATTTTTGATTGATCACTTCCCTTTTTGTGAAAATTCTATCATTGTTCATCCAATAAAAGGAAGCAAAAATGAAAAAAAGGTTGTCGTGTGGGCAACATTTTCACAGTTTTGCTGAAGTTTAAATTTCTTTAGAATGCCCGAAATAGTTTGTTTGCCTGTCACAGCCGGTGCGGACACCCCAAAGAGTGAGCGCATGTACCGGCTCCTACCAGTCTTGTGGGAGCACTTTACACGTGGATGTTGCAAATCACTCCGTAACTATAGATAACTTTATCGCCAATCGAGTCGAAGCATTTTGGGCTGTCTGTGTTTTCGGTGTAGTCATCCAGGAAAGCGGTTTAGTCGGCGTGTTCTAAGTCACAATCTGTTTCTTGGGATGAGTTCAAATCCAGTGTTTGCCAGACTGTTCAAGGCATTCGACAGCAAAGTTGGAAAGCAATAGGGATTGAGTAGTCTTGTCGTATTCGTTTACTTTCTTTCTTTTGTTCATTTTTGCTTCCTTCTATTTAATATAAAATGCTACGATTACATACTGTAAAGGATGTCTATGGTCCAAGGTTCGAGCCCCGCCACCGCCACTCAACTTTGGTGGTAAGCGGCTTTGCTGTCGTTCTGTTCTATACCACACCTAACCTAGCGGGGCCTTATGTGGTTCGCCACTCCAAGTCCCGGGGCCTTAGGTTACCGGTTTCCATCACGGAACAGCAGGACCTCGTGATTATGGCGCTTTCCCCGCCTTCTGTTCATCCCACAAATAAATAATAAAT